ATTTACAAAACAGCTCGGTCTCCTTATTTAAATTTCCTAAAAAATTATTATATCAAGAAGAGGTGGATTAAATTTTGTGAAGAGCCACCTTGATGTAGAGCTAAGGATCACCCACGTGACCAAGCAAATGTAGTGGACAGCACATTCCAGGGCCCAGTTTATGGCAGGGCCCCTCTCTGACCACAATAGTGGACAAAGGTTTGTTACATTTTGATTGGATCTTGGTGGATTAAAATAAGCAAACTGTCCAACTCCACCAGATAAAGATGCCAGGACAACAGCCTTACACCTCTTAGAGGGCAGGAAGACAACCTTTGTTACAAAGCCCGGGAAGGACAGGACTTCTCATTGGTCAAAATGCAGTTTCTGCGCTTCACCCACCAACAGACTGATTCCTAAGGTTTTAGCCTGTGACTGCCATAAAAATTCCTTAGGACCTCTGGACGCAGCAACAGTGGGTGAGAGAGATCACAGAGTTACACCCAAATCCATTCATATCTATGTTCTCAAACCTTAAATTGATGCAAACTACAACATACACATCTTATACTTATTCAGAGAAATAAGTATTCTCAGTGACAGCAATGTGTAGTGCAACATCTTACACAAACTCAGCTGTTAATGGACAAATGAATCCATGCATGACGGTTCAATCTTTTTCCATCATGTTTGGACAATGTTTCTGGTTTGGTAAGTGAAAAATGCACTAGTAAAACTTTAGTGACAGTTTTCTAAATTTGTGTTTGGACTATGCAAATAACTTCTACAGGAGGAAAGAGGGGTGGGCCACACCATGTTCCCCCACTCTGATGGAAACAGCCAATCACAGCACTGAGATGGAGAAGTGGCAAATTGCAATCTCCTCCTCATTGGAAAGGGATGAAGATACCTTCCCAAAAGACACTCCTTGTTCTGAGTCTGAGTCCTGAAAGGGAAGGGACACTAACAGATCAACAAGTTCTGAGTCTTTTGTCCAGAGAGACTGTAACAGATATCCGTTCTGAGTGTCCCATCCATAGAGACAATAGCAGATACACCGTTCTTAGTCTCCATCCTGCAAGGGTGAGACACTAGCAGATACACTCGTTCTGAGTCTCCCATTCCGAGAGACAGAAACATCAACATTCTGAACCTCTGGCCCATGCGGGAAGAGGCAATAACAGATACCAAGTCCTGAGTCTCCAGCTTGTGAGGCAGCAACAGATAAGACCACTTGCTGAGCCTCCAGCCTGTGAGGAGAGAGATATTCTACGTTTAGAGTCTTTGTCCAGCGAGACAACAACAGATGCAGCACACCTTGAGTCTCCATCCTAGAGAGACGATGTGGATTGACCAAGTTCTGAGTCTCTAGCCCAGAGAGGTAGAAGACATACATTTGCAACAAGGTTAAGCTCCGGAGAGGAAACCTTCACTTCAAGGTACATTTTGCATGTTCCAGGCAAGGACCTTCCTTCTGCACCTACTCCAGGGCCACATCAGCGTGTTCCAGATTTTAGGACCCTTTGGTGCTCCAGGAGAGTGGATGAAGTCGTCACCTCATCGAGTCGACCTCATGAGTCGACTGCTCACTCAACCACAGAAAACATAATTATTACTTATCCAAACCTCTTCCAGAGACCTTGGCATTGTTGTATATTATCAGTATATGATTGCCTAATTTACATTAGATATTATATAGCTGATTACAGTTGATAAATAATCTTTCACGTATTTGTTTGATGCATAATAAGGTTCTTCACCTTATTTGTTTCAGAGTAGCAACAGTTTATCTTTCCAGATAACATAGCTCTGACATAGCAACACCCAACATAATCACTTGCATTTTATACATCTTATGCACTTTATTCCTTTTTTATTCATGGTTCTTATTTATTTAGTAGTTGTCGATTACTCTTGTCCATCTTTTGTTAATAAATGTATTTTATTACACTTGTGTCTTCCTTGTGTTCACGATACAGTAAGAGGTTCTACAAGTTAGAGATCCCACCAATCTTTCTTATGTGATTTACTCATAACCACACCTTAAGTGACACGTGATCCAAAAATCATAACATCATTGGTGACATGAGTACCCATCACCCATCACTATTTCGCCTCCCTAGGTTGGCGAAAGCAAATTCACTACACTCTGCAGAGAACATTTTACACCGGATAGTTTTACAAACTTGAGAGCAGAGAATACTGCTTATTTTTTCAAGATTTTTATAAATTATTTTATTTACTTGGCATTTTTTTAACATTCAAATTTGGCTAGGTGCTTAATAACACATTTTTCTGTGCTGTGACAAACTCAGAACACATATTTATTTAATATTGCTTTACATAGACTTTCACTTTTTAAACATCGACTTTACATGACGAGTCTGTAAAAAAAAACACCCATTAAGGCTCCATTCACATGCTACATTATTTGTTCTTCAGACATTACTCATCTGTATACAACGTGATCCCCATTTGGTTTTTGACCACTGAAAATGTGTACAATTTAACAATTTACTGCTGGAGCAATATATTAACAAAAATTTGAGTCGGAGACCTGGTTGAGTTGACACGGAATGACCCAACTATACTGCTCAAAAAATGAAGGTAACACTTAATCATCAAAGTATACCACCAAGTCAGTTCAACTTTAGGGACATCAATCTGTCCGGTTAAGAAGCATAAGTGCTTGTGAATAAGTTTTACCTGCTTTGGTGCAAATGAAAGTAACAACAGGTACACTGGAGAGGAAACAGCAAGACAACCCCCCCAAAAAGAATGGTTTTGCAGGAGGTGGTCACAAACAATTGCTCTCTACTTATCCTTCCTGACAGATCTTTCTCTAGTTTTGCATTTTGTTAGGGTCCTTCTCACTACTTCTCATTACTACTACAATGTGGCAGTCCCTGCAACCCAATCAGGTTGCACAGGTAGTCCAACTCCTCCAGGATGGCAATTCAATACGTGCCACCGGAAGGTGTGGTGTGTCTCCTAGCACAATCTCAATAGCACGGAGGAGATACCGGGAGATGGGCTGTTACACAAGGAAAGTTGGACAGGACTATAGAAGGGCAATAACGTGTGGATACCAGGCTGACATTCATCTCAACAACACAACCTTGTTTCTGCATTGACTTTCAGCATGTTTCTTACATCTGATAGGCTTACATTTTACATTGTGGGAGAAAAAGAAAACAAGGCAGAAAAGCTAGAGGTCGACCGATGGATTTTACTGATGCTGATAGTTAGGTTGGACTGCACTGACCAATGGCGATTAATCAACTGATAGTTTTTAAACTGAACGTTTAAACGTTAAAATTTGTTTGTGTCTGCTTATTCTATTCATCAGTGTTTGAACCATTAAAGAAACAACCGCATTTTCCGTATTTCACTTCTGGGTTAAAATTTTTTTAAATGAATGGACGCAAAAGTAATCATAATCGCACACTTTATATGCTTCTGATTTAGAACACGATGATTATCTAATCAAAATAAAATATGTTAGTCACACACCTGGCAATAGCACAGGGCTGCCCGCGTCTAGGAGAACTTGCAGGTATCACACAAACCGGACGCGTCACGTTCAGTTCAAGCGGCAGTCTAAGTTTATTTAAATCACCAAATGGGCAAAGGTTCACTGCAATAATGAACAATGTGGCATAGATGAGTTTGAAGTTCGGTGTTTAAATAAACAGAGCAAACGGAAAGAGAAAGCATGATCTATAGCTCAATAAATGAAGCATACTTTATGAGAGCCACAGAAAGACAAACGATTCGCTGAAAAATGCACAATACACAATTTTACAGCATAGGGTGAAGTCATTATGTACATTAACAATGATTTGGGACAAATATAATGTAATTTAATAGAAAACTACGTGATTGGCACTCTATGGCGCGGCAGGATTTTCTGTCGGCTGCATTTAAATCTGCATCTGAATTTTCCCGCTCAGCCTTATGTGTCAAAACAAACAACACTACGAGCGCACCTTTTTTTAACAACCAAAAAGTTTTGTTGTCTGTTGCGGAAGAACAGACGTTCCTCTCGTTGATAGCAGAGAGCGAGAGCTTGATATGAAAACGTTTTTTTCAAGAGTCGCAGCAGTAGAGGCGGCGCAACTATAACGACGTGAATAATCCCGCCCACTCTAAAGCGGTACTGAACTGCAGTGGAAATGCAAACCGTGCCAAGCCGAACTGTGCCGTGCCGAGCCGAGTCGTACCACACAGTGGAAATGCGCCATAGGTGTCAGTGATTTCCGGCTCTAGAGGCTGCTCTCGCACTGTATAATAACAGCGGACCCTTCTCAGCCGCTCCATGCACGAATGGACGCAACCCGGAAAAACTATCAGCATGGATTTTTGCTGATAACCGATAGTTCCAGCGATCAACTCTCGGTGCCGATTAATTGGCAAAACCGATAAATCGGTCGACCTCTAAGAAAAGTTATGTGAAATTTGATCTGAGCTGGAATCAGACTGAAAAGGACTTCAAGAAATGAGATCTGAATAGGATTTAAAACCACATATGAATGCATCTTGAAATGGATTAATAAAAATCGTATTTGTCAGATTATGACCAGATATGCATAAAAATCAGATTTGAACTGACAGTCAGAGTCCAGAGTCCAGTCAAGAAGTTGCTAGCTTTGGTGCTATGCTCTTTTTATTTGGGGAAAAAAAAAAAAAAAAAGCTGCTAAAAGGGTCTGAAAAAAAAAAAAGAAAGAAAAAAATTGTTCCCTCAAGAAAGTATCAGCCAGGGGATGTTTATGGAACAGCTCATCAAACTGGTCTGAAATCCAAAGATATGTTTAGTATGTGGATTTATATAACCAGGGTATGTAAACTGAACTGTGCTCAGATAAAGGGGTTCAGCTATGAAAACTATTGTTATGTGGTCTTTTTTCTGGAAATCCTTAACTATATTTAAGTTTTGTTTATTGTTAATAAACTTCCTTTATTGAATGATTTTCAATTCTTCTAATTTGCTGTATATCTACGATTTAATGTAATTTCTCACCTCCAATTCATTCTCATCAAATATGGCCAGAAGGTTTTCAGGGACCAGTTCATTCAAACCTGAACAGAAGAGGTCATTCAGTTAATTTGGTTAAGGAGATTTCGTACAGAAGTTTAAATAAAGAGACAGAAACTTGGGCTCTTACCTTTTAGAAAGTGTTCTACTTCATCTCGCACCTGACTGGCTAGTCTGTACTGGGCCAACAGGTTTAAGTAGTGAATTTTATTCTCATTTGTCACTGCAATTTGAGCACCACCAGATATCAATTCCACCACCTGTAATATTATTACTATTAGTGAAAGTGTACAACAAAAAATCACCTGCACCTTCAAATAATCCTTCAGGCAGGGGTGTCCAAACCTGCTCCTGGAAGCCACTGTCCTATATATGCTCCAACCCTAATTAAAAACACCTGGACCAGCTAATCAAGGTCTTTAGACCCACTAGAAATTTCCAGGCAGGTGTGTTGGAGCCAGTTGAAGCTAAACTCTGCAGGATGTTGGCCTTTCAGGAACAGGATTGGACACCCCTGCCTTAAGACCACTTTCATACACACATGCACTTAACCGTATTATTGTATTTGGAATCAAGATTAAAATGAACAGATTTCATTTTTTATTCGTTTTTCATTGAATTAATGATGACTACCTTTTCCAGGTGTCCTGACTTGCTATATTTTTCTTCTGCAAACAGCAGGTCCATTTCACTGACATCGTTGTTAAGAATAAAGCACACCTTGGTTTTGTAAAATTCCTCATCATCAGTTTCAAAGTACTGCCAAAGCAAAGAAAAACAAAAAATAAACAAACACTCATATAATTTCATTCAAGGAAAGTAAGAGTATTTGCATACTTGCAAACTCCAGACTGAAAAAAACGTTTACTGGGGCTCTGATATTAGAAATAGAACTATATACTTACTATTTTTAGATAAACCTCACATTTCAGCCTAAAAAAAGAGTTTTTGTTTGTCATATATAATTGCTATGAACAGAAAGATCCCCCAAATAAAATCTCATTGGATTTGCATGAATCATGTAAATGGTCTTTTTCAAATGTGACAAGTTTACATGTATGCTTTGCAAAATTTGCACCCAAAGAGAGGAGATATGACTACTCATAAAATGAGTGTTCATTTGTAAAGGAGGCATAAACTATATCAGTACAGGTTAAAATTTACATTTATTAGCAGGCTATGAATCAATTGTCACCTTATAGTTCATTCGTAATCCAATTATCTGAGCCAAGAAGGAGCGGGTAAATCGGGCTCGTACCAGCTGCTTGTAGGTCCCACCTAAAGCTGATTCATACAGACATTTCCCCACCACTCGTCCTGTAAACTCATACATTTTCACCCTCAGGTGAGGAGGGCGATCAGCGTTTGGGTGGACCTGCCCAAAAAACATAGAACAGCTCATTCCATATCAACTCTTGACCAACATCAACATTAAAAAGTCAATGTGTATATCACGACAGTTTATTTAAAGGTGATGAGTGTCATTTTATCCCCTTTAAAATACTGTCTCATATCCCAGCGTAATATACACAGAAAATTGTACAGAACTCTTTATCCACCTTACTTTGCAACGTTATAATAAGCTATTTTCTGTGAATGTGCAAGACTTCCAATTAATTAGTTGCTTTAGGTAAATAACTAGAAAAATAGCAAAATGCAGTAAATACAATAAAAACTATTTGCGCTACAAACCAGAGTGTTTATAATTACAACAATACATTAAAATAATATGATAAGAAATACCAGTTTGCAATATCAAGCAGCATAAAAAGCTGTTTTGTACAACTATGACTTACCAAACCTTGGTTGTTGTCACTAAAGCGTGTGAAAAGCTGATTATTTGTATCAAACAGAGCCTTACAGATAAGCTCAAACCACTCACGCCGTGGCCCACCCCAGTCCAGAGCTAATAAACACAACCAAACACATAGAACAAATTAACCTTTAAATATGATTATGGGTTTATTAATGGTTAAAAAAAAGTCATGAAATGTCACTTTGAAAATAAATCTTAATGGTTAAAAAATATGCTTTATTTTATTTTTTATTTCATTTTATGTAATTTATGTAATTTTCTTTTATGTAATAATGCTCTTGACAGGTTTTGTGAAATGCGTAAGAATAATTATTAAAGCTAATAGCATCAGTCGGTTAACCAACCTTCCTCATCCTGGAACACAACTTCAAAGTTCTTACTCCAATCCGACACAGAAAAGTTCCGTGTGGCCTTCAGAGACTGAAAAAAGGGGGGAAAAGTGTCACTTTTAATTCCCATAAAATTCAGAGACTGCACTACACCAAAGAAATAAATGGTGCAGGGCTGCAGGCTTATAGGAGTATTGAGCAGGCCCGGACTGGCCATCGGGAGCACCGGGAGAATTCCCGGTGGCCTGGCGGCTGATTTGGCCCGCTGCACTGTTTTTTGTTTTTTTTGCAGTTATTATTATTATTATTTTATATTTATGCCTTCTCAATGTACCAAAGTGATCATTTCCGATTTTTTCATTCGATAATAAATCATAAATCGGTTAGTCTTGACTGGCAGCGCTGCACTATACGAATCAGCTCACGTCTGATCTGCGCTTCCATCAAACGATTCCGAACAGAACCGATGCGCGGGACTCGATGAAAGTTATTATTATTATTATTTTATATTTATGCCTTCTCAATGTACCAAAGTGATCATTTCCGATTTTTTCAATCGATAATAAATCATAAATCGGTCTTGACTGGCAGCGCTGCGCTATACGAATCAGCTCACGTCTGTTCCGCGCTTCCGTCAAACGGTTCCGAACAGAACCGATGTGCGGGACTCGATGGAAGAGAGAAAGTGGCCAGAAGAAGCAGTGAAATAGCAACATCACTGACCTGTTCAGGGCTTCAAGTGCAGGTCAGTTTCATCTGTAAATACGCTAGATAGTTTTGTCTTTATTAACCTAGTTGAGTATTAAACTGTTAGTATCAGTACTAGCACTCCATTATTATCATCATTCAGAAAACTGTGCTAAAGGACATCAATATCGATTGTAAAATTACATAAAAAATTTAGCAGAGACAGATATTCACGTGGATTTATTTTACAGGGAGGGCAGGAGCTTGAGCAGACAGCAACACAAAAATAATATGAGTCACAACCTAATAACTCAATAATGTGTTCAGTATTAGAATTTTTCAACAAAAATATTGTACTAATTTTGACATTTAGGCACTTTAGAAAATGTGTTTTAATACACTACCAGTCAAAAGGTTTTGATCAGTAAGATTTTTAATGTTTTTAAAGAAGTCTCTTCTGCTCACCGAGCCTTCATTTATTTGATCCAAAATACAGCAAAAGCAGTAATACTGTGAAATTTTTTTATTATTTAAGATAACTGATTTCTATTTGAATATATTTTAAAATGTAATTTATTCCTGTGATTTCAAAGCTGAATTTTCAGCATCATTACTCCAGTCTTCAGTGTCACATGATCCTTCAGAAATCATTCTAATAATGATTTGCTGCTCAAAAAACATTTATTATTATTATGTTGAAAACAGAGTAGATTTTTTTTCAGGTTCTTTCATGAATAGAAAGTTCAGAAGAACAGCATTTATCTGAAATAGAAGTCTTTTGTAACATTATTAATGTCTTTATCATCACTTTTGATCAATTTAAAGCATCCTTGCTAAATAAAACTAATAATTTCTATAACCCCCCCCCCAGATAAATGCTGATAAATGCTGATCTTTGGATCTTTCTATTCACAAAAAAATAGTGATGATAATAATAATAATAATAATGTTTCTTGAACAGCAAATGAGCATGAATGGTTTCTGAAGGATCATGTGACACTGAAGACTGGAGTAATGATGCTGAATATTCAGCTTTTTGATCACAGGAATAAATTAAATTTTAAAATATATTCAAATCGAAAGCAGTTATTTTAAATAGTAACAATATTTCATAATATTACTGTTTTTGCTGTATTTTGGATCAAATAAATGCAAGCTTGGTGAGCAGAAGAGACTACTTTAAAAAACATTAAAAATCTTTCAAAAACGTTTGACTAGTAGTGTATATTTGTATGAAATATAGGTTTGTTAAATCTAGTGTATTTGAGTCATTTTAAGATAAATAGCATTCTGTCCTAACAAATTGAAATGAGGTGGTTGTTTTCAACAAGGTGGACACAGTTCTGTTCATAACAGTAGACCTGCTGGTGAAGAAATGACAGACAATAAAAAAAAAGGAAAATTAAGAAAAGGGAAAGGGAAGTGAAGTGAAGGTGCAGTGCAGGAGAGAACCTTTAATTATTTTCCACGGCCCCAGACTAAGGATTTAGACCTTTTTTATGTGATGGCCATACAAATAGGGGAAGTCGTGGCCTAATGGTTAGAGAGTCGGAATGTTGTGGATGTATAGGCTATATACAGAAAAAAGGGGCCAAAATTGCACCTTTTGGGGTACAACAGCTTGTCACTGGAGCAGTAACCTTAAAAGGACATCTTTGTTCCTTTTTTACCCCTAATAGGTATGCCTACATATTAGTACCTTAAGGGTACAAATTACTACGCTAAGGTATTAATATGTTCCTATTAGGGGTAAAAAATGTACAAAGATGTCCTTTTAAGGTTACTGCTCCAATACTGCTGTATTACTATTCGCCTCCCTCATGCTCGCTAAAAGTGATTAGAAGTCATTAGAACCAGTTCAAAAAAACGATTCAGAGGTTATTTTACGGTGGACCTGGCTTGTCCACAATTTTGAGCGCTGCACGACAGAATAGATCATGACGTGATCAAGGGTCTTGATCTTATTTCCATCTAAAATACTATTTTTTTTTAAACATTTCTATCAGCCCATGATAATTATAAAAGAAAACGTCCCGAGGATAGATCAGTGGCTGAGAGCGCATCTGATTGACAGAGAAACCACGAGCTCTATCAGTTATTGTTAATGTTCTTGTTTCAGTGTACAGTTTGTTAATTTTGTGCAAAGCATACAGTCAAAGTAAACTTCATCATTCAGCTGAACTGTGCACATTTATTTTAGACACTTCATGTCATGTTCAATTCATACGATAAACGCATGTCCTGCTGAGCTGTGGGCTATCACTAATTTCAAGCAAGCAGCAACCTCCCGCTCTCTCTCGTTTGCCGCTGCTGTCACCACCGTCGAGCTAGGTGGGTGTGGTTTCAGCAACCAGCTCCCGCCTTTTATGCCCACTTTGTATTTTTTACAAATAAAGCTTCATATTATGAAGAGGATACTTTCTACGACCTTTATCCTGCAGTAATGGTGAGATTATAGATTCCTTCAATCTAAAATAAACAAGAATCGAAAAAGAATCGAAAACAAGTGAGGAATCGATTCATGGAATCGATTCCAGAACCAGGAATCGGAATCGGACTCGATTCCAAAAATTTCGGAATCGAACAGCCCTAGTGACAGCTAAGTGGAATCCCGGAAAATAAACCGTGTAACTTTGACCAATGAGAGAACAGTTTACTCGCGCGTAACTTGTATTAAAAAATTTAGTCCGTTTAGAAACTTTGCCGTGTGAAAGCGAACCGCACCAAGAATAAAAAGCAACATTGTAATAATTTTAATCCCTGTTTCGGAACAAAGCAATCGATCTACAG